TATATATATGCATAACGTGTACAATATGTAGTATCGTAAAATACCAGCAAACGAAAAAGAATTAAATGAAAAAGAAATCATAAACCCAAAACCCACTCAACATTTTAATACCGGTTGGTGACACCAATCGGTACTAAAGGGCTCCCTGCCCCCGAAGTTGGCTCGTGCCACGTGGTTGCCCTTTAGCACCGGTTCGCGCTGAACCGGTACTAAAGGGGGCCTTTAGTGCCTACATTTTAGCGCCGGTTACCAAACCGGCACTAAAGGCCTTACGAACCGGTGTTATTGCCCGGTTCTGCACTAGTATCTACATTACTAAATAATTTGCGTCAGTATGGAAAGTTCTGATTTGTTCAGATTTCATTCGTTGTGTGAGAGGGTGACGCGAAAATAAACCGATGAAGTGGGGGGAGGGGACGAAAAAAAAATCTACGAAAAAAACAGCCAAGGTGGGAGGAGGTACCCAAAAAATCATGGGAGGTGGGACGAAAAAAACTAGAAGCGAGACTATCAAGTGCTCCATTAGGAGTAGAGATGTATATGATCTTCCCTTCCCTCTCTGTTGTCGAGCGTTCTTGATTCTCAAGGCCGATGCTTGGGTTGCGTCACTGGGTCACGACGGTGCCAGAGGACAAGGATGGAGAGGCCGGGTGCCGGGGCACCGCGTTGGCCGCGGTCGGTGAAGGGGGCGAAGAAGGGCGGCTTCCCTGGCCCTGGCCGTGGCCCTGGGAGTTGGTGCGGTGGAAGCGACACTTGAAGGACCCGATGTGGGTGGCCGGCGCGCAGACGCACTTGGAAGCGGGCTCGTGGCCCATGCCAGACGGTGCCGATGCCGACCCAGGCCACCTCCTCCGTGTATTCTTGGAGCTGTGGCTGGCCAATTTACATGGAATTAATTCCCTCAGTTGTGGTGGCAAATATAATACACATAATCCATATTATTATGCACTAGCGTGTATATGTGAAATAGATGGATTATGGTCACGTACCCAATAAGATGAATATGTGTGTGTGTTAGAGAGAGAGAGGGAGAGGGGGAGAGAGAGTGAGGAAGAGGGAGGGAGAGAGTGTGTGTGTGAGGATTTAATGGTAAAAAAGGTGGCCAATGTCACTTGATATGTATGAGAATATTAATATTGAACTCTTAAAGTTAATGTGGCCCCGTTGCGACGCACGGCCGTTTTTCTAGTTGCAATACTATTGTTGTCTCAGTTGCTGCGACATTTTATTGCGTGATAGCCGTTGTCTTCACTGAAATTGTTTAGTTAAAAAGAACTGTAATTTTTGTAGTATAAATTATCCCTTTAGCTACATTTCAGTCAGCTGACTTTTTATTTTGTGGTCAATCGATTTTCTGTTCATTGGATGTGCTTTGAGATCTTTGTTGTTTTCATTTTTTTCCTATTTAATTCTGTTGTGGGCTGTGTGGAATCGATTGACCCCTATTTTGGGCCAGTCGAATTGCTTCCTGGGCTTGTTTTTGTTCTTCTGGGTTGCGTTTTTCTTTTTCCTTTTTTCCTTTTCTTTATTGTTTTTTTGGGTTTTTGGCTGAGTGTAATTATATACATACATATACTATATAATATGTGCAAAAGTTTCATGATTATATGATTATTTTTGCATATTATGATAAAGTGTAATTTTGTTGCAAAGTTGTGCACAAGTTTTTTTTTTCTTTCTCTCTTCTTAAAGGAAATACCAATGCCATTAATTCATTCCTTTTTAGAAAAAAAATCATTATTTGATATTGTTTGGCACTTCATTTTGATTCTACTTTAAGGTCAAGTACCAACGCCACTATTCATTTGTTCTTAGATTTTGTATTTGCAAAAGTTCCACTTTTATATGCTTATTCTTGCATATTTTTAAACAGTGCAATTTTTATTTTTATTTCATGCAAATTTTGTCAGTGTTTGTTTTAGATTCTTTTCTCATTTTTTTTCTTCTTAAACGGTAATACCAATGCTACATATTCATTCATTCTTTTGTGGGTATTTTTGTTTTATTTTTATTCTAGTTTTCTGTTTCTATGCGCTTTTTATTTTTCTTTTTTTTCTTTTATTGGTCATTTCTTGTTTTTTGTGGGTTTTATCTGTTGTTTTTTTGTTGAGTTATCTTTTTTCTTTATGTGTTTTATTGGAAGTTGAGAGTGTGTAAATATATACACACAAGTACTACATGTATACATTATACTAGAGTATGGAAATTTCACTACTATATGTTTCTTCTTACATATTATAAAAAGTGCAAATTTTGTACTAATCATGAAGAAATTTTAGTTTTAAGTTTTTATTTCAGTTTCTCTCTTTTTAAGGGTAATTCCAATGACACTAATGCATTCTTCTTTGAAACTTTTTTTATGTAAATTCTACTAGTATATGTTAGTTCTTGCATAGCTAGAAAAACTGCAATTTATGTGTAACTTATGTGCAAATTTTATCATGATTTATTTTTCATTCCTTTCTTCTTAAAGGGTGGCACCAATGCCACTACTTCATTCTTTTTTAGAAAATATCATATTTTTGTGTGTTTAAATAAGTATACACGCAAGTAGTATACAACATGTGTGTAAATTATAGTGGAGTGTGAAATTGCAATATTATATGTTCGCTGTTTGCATATTACTAAAAGTGCAATTTCAGTGCAAACTTGTGTGTAATTTTTTCTCTTTTTGTTTTTTTTTCTAAGAGGGGTTCATTATTCCCAAGAAAACTTTATTATTTTGATTTTGTTTCAGTTTTTTTTCATTTTGTTTCTTCTTAAAGGGTTTCATTCTTCCGTAGAAAACTTCATTATTTTGTTTTTATTTTTATTTTATTTTATTTTATTTTATTTCTTTAGAGGCAATACCAATGTCATTACTATTATATGTTTTATTCGTTACTCAAAAATATTATATGTTTATTCATGCATATTATAAAAAATGCAATTTATGTATAAACTGCGTGCAAATTTTGTCACTTTTTTGTATTCTTCTTAAAAGGGAATACTAATGCCGCTAATTGAAAGCAATTTATGTATAAACAATTGCTTGAACGCATGCATGCATGCATGTACCTGCGGCCAAGGCAAACATTGCCACCCACACAGTGAATCCTACGTAAGAAAGAAAGTGACTGACCCACAGGATAATTAGTCGAGTGGCACGTAGCCAGATCCATAAATTATGTACGAGGCACACGGTGAGCACACCACCGGAGCAACCGTGACCCAAAACATATACACACCGTGTGTCCCACAACCACAACTAAGCTCTTGCTCCTCCTTAGGCTAGCAGCCTCCACCATTCCCTTCACCTCCCAACAGCACCAGCCACCAGCACCGGCACGATGTGTCTGCCACATTTTTTTCAAAAAGGGCGCTTTACTACTTAAAAGGTTTAAGTATTACACTTGGCATGTGTCTGCCACATGAAAGGGAGGCCTTGCTAGCATTCAAGCGAGGCATCACCAACGACCCCCGGGTCAACTTGCCTCGTGGCAGCGACATGGACTGAAGGACTGCTGCCGCTGAAGGTGAGTCCAGTGCGATGACCACACCAGGCATGTCCTCCAGCTTCATCTTCGCAACTTGCACGTCAATAAGTGGTAGTCGTTCGCTGCAGTGCTTGCAGCTCTCCTCAGCCTTCTCAAAGCACAAATAATGCAACCATCGACCTTGTAGCAACTCCGCCCCGTCGCCGCCGACGACCATGCCGCCGCAGCCCGCTCGCTACACACGCTCCAATGACAACGACCTTGCAGCAGAAGTGGTGCTGCAAAACAGCATCAACGCCACTGCAACAACAGTACAACTGTTGTCACAGAAGCCAGGGCCGGTCCTGACTTTTCCGAGGCCCGGGGTGAACTTCAAAAATGGGGCCCATGAAGATAGCAACTACAACATAGTCCATAATTTCATTTATATAGATATATATAACAAAATTTTATTCGACTTCCAATTTCAAAAGAAAACTACGGTAGCAGGAAGTCTTTTTTTTTGCGAATATACGGTAGCAGGAAGTCATTAGCAAATAAGGTCTGAATAATACACCATGGACATTTATATGGCAGGAAGTTTTGGCAACAACCAAAAAAATCTTTTTAGGCAACATTTTTATAGTATCTTCTCTACTACCTAAAAGAGATGTAGTGTTCCGTCTCCCCTCTTACATCAAGTTTCCGTCCCTCATTCCCCGGATTGATCCACATCCTGGTTTTTTCTCCCACATCACATGGTCGAAAAAATATCTCCTGAAATATCGTGACTCGTAGAGAGAGAGAGAGAGAGAGAGAGAGAGAGAGAGAGAGAGAGAGAGAGAGAGAGAGAGATTTCATGGAAGAGAAAGATTTTCACGTGAGGAATTTAGAGACCTTCTCCTTTCTCCCGTGGCTTTCCTCCATTGCTCCTTTCTTAGTAGTCCTGGACTTTTAGATGCCACTAATCATCTCCCACCTCCAGCCGCATGCCGCAGCGCGATGTTCAACCCAGTTGGCGATTGTCAGAACCTCAATGATCAATCTTGTGTATGTGTGTGTGCGTGTTCATGAGGAATCAACATGCGGATATATGGATTTTGGGCGCCCTCTGCTTATCTATTGTCGGTGGGGTCGACACACCATCCTGATACGTGCCCGCCGCTGTTTGTCGGGTCAAAATTGTTTCAGCCGGCAGAAATGGAGACAGCGCGGTTGGCAGACAAAAAGGGGAATGTTAAACGAGATGCATGTGTGTCCTTTCCCTCCGCAAGCAAAGGGAGGAAACCGCGAGCTTTGAAGGTGCTGCCCTCCGACGGTGACAACCACAATGAACAGCACAGCGTGGAAGTGGCCGGGGCCATGGCGCAGTGGCGAGAGGAGGACGACCTCCAGGTCCCACACAACGACGAGTCTGTCGCGGCCACCGTCGTCTGCATGGCCGACGTTTCCGACTCTCTTCGGGGATCAACGTGCTCGCGTCGACCATCGTCTTGCATGGGAGATGACCATATTGTCATTTTTGGCCCAATAGATTAGATCTTCTAATTTGTACTACCACTGATCTGGATTGAGATCTGTGCAACTTTTTAAGGGGTGTACCAAAGCATTTCCTATTTTAATTTTTAACTTAATGTGATTGCGATTTAGTTTTGCTCATTTCTTGAATAAGGTTTCAGAAGTATACAATGAGATGGTGTGTACTATTTCTACCCTCAATAAAGAACTTAGAGATATAGATTTAGATTTGCATCACGTAATCTAATTGTAGAAAAACTGAATTATTTATGCACAAAGATGGTTGTTGTGATTATATTATCTTGGATTTTGTTATAGCCATATATGCAGGGACATTTTGATATGATAATTTACTGCTCCCTCTGTCAACAAATATAAGATGTTTTTTGCGAGAAAAATAAATATAAGATATTTTAGATTACTAATTAAAATAATATAGTTTTGTACATTTAGACTATGTTTAGATATATATGATATTTTAAGAAGGGGTAATGAACATATATGGAACTAAATGAATATGGCCGAGAACTAATACTTTTCTGCCAACCCGTTGACACTGCTATGGTAGTGGTTTGTCATCGGACCGTTTATTCCCGTTGAAACGTACGAGCGATACATAATATAGGAAAAGAGGGAACACCTGAATCGTTGGAGGAGAAAAGTAGAGATTGAACTATCCAATTCCAAACATCTTGGACTTCAATGGCCCTCGCTCTGTCCTCGATTCCCTGTGTTGAGCAAATTGTATGCAAAGAGAAGACCAACCAGGGAGCCAAAATTAAACAAACTATAAAAAGATCAAATGGAAAATGGACTTAAAAAATACTAGATCTTTTTGAGGT